CTCTGTTTATGTAGCCTAGAACTGTGTTGGCTTTTTTGGCAGCTGCTGCACACTGCTGGCTCATCTTTAAGTGGTTGCCCAGTAGAACTCCAAGATCCCTTTCACAGTTACTACTATTGAGGAACGTACCACCTATAATGTACCTGTGCATATACCTTTAAAGTTTTTGGGAAATTTTTCTCCCATGAAATGTTTTTCAAGTAAAATGTTTACTTGAGAGGGGGTAATAATTTGATTCCTGGCAAAGACCTCAATTAGCCTCTGCAGTTTTCTTGGCAAGATTTCAGAAGTGGTTTGCCAATGCCTCCTTTTTAGGGATGAGAAAATGTGACTGGTCCAGGTCACCCAGAGGTGTGATTAGCTTTTGGTAACTCAGGCTCTTCCAGATATCTTGGGACCAACTGCCAAAACTCCAATCCAGTATGGCCAATGGAATGTATCTAAAGGATTCCAGGCTGTGGAAGGATAGACTAGATGACCCTTTGTAGCATATTACATTGTTGTAAAGTTTCAATAGGATAGTGAAACCTCTATGTAGGCCGTCCACTGAGTCATTTTGGCTGTCTCTTTCACTCGGTCAATCAGATTGTGAAGTCAAAACAGATAGAGGGTTATCTATCTGAATGTTCAGACTGTATATTTCATTTGCAATCATTCAAAGCATACTACTAGATTATTAGCCATGTATGCCTCTTTATATTTCAGTCTCCTTTTTTTTAACCATCAACAAAATAGTTTGAAAATTAACAATTCACAAATCATGCTTATTTTTTTAAAAAATAATGTTGCTTTTCAAAACCATGTTTCCTCATGTCACATCAAGTTACAATACATATTTACCTCTCATTTATTCTTGTAATAGAAGGCAGCTGGAAATCACAATTCTTACTTGTATAACATTTGAATGATGGAATGTGTGATACTACTAAAACTAGTGTTAGATAAATGCAAATATTAGATAACTCTTAAGACAAAAGCTGCCAGTTTTATTTGCACTTATTTATACTGATGTTCTAATTCATTTATTTCTATCCTGAAGGTACGGATACACAAATTAGGGAGCTGTGTACAAAGGAAGATATTAAAAACAGAGCACGAACTAGTAAGATCTGTAAAACAAAGAAAGTTCTACCTGCTCGAGGTTCTACAGTCCTATTTGCACCTTCGTCCATAAAGACAAACCGTCCACCACCAAAATCTTCTGCATAGTCTGATAGGTAGAGCAGTGATGTGTAATCAAAGGAGCCATAGGTCACCTACAAAGGAAAGATAAAGTATTGAATATCAAAAAAAAAAAAAAAGCTCGGGGATTGAATTGGATCTGCAGATGCATAGGCCCTGAAAGAAGTTGGTTATTTGGATCCCTTTTAGTTGGGTTCCAGGTCCAAGTGGGGCAATGAGATTTCATTGATTTCATCTGTGTTTAACCTCTGGTAAGACAAGGAATGTATCCCCTCCTGGTACTGAATGCTATTTCAGTGGCTTTTGATACTATCAAACTTAATATTAGACTGCCCCCAAGAGAAGGAGTTGGGCACATTGCTTTGCAGTGTTCTCCTCAATCTGAATTTGCTTCTTTTGCAGCCACATCACACTAGACTTTCCATCTGCAATCAGCTATTTGTCACATTTTGTTCATAAACACTATTACTAAGCTAGGTATTTCAATCCTATATCTTTGTGTCTAATTTTTTTTCACTTTATGAAACAATTTGTATCTGTCTCTAATAAATTTCCTTCTGCAACTTTCAATGGATTGAACGAACTTTTCCAAGGATACTAGCTATTTTCATTCTCATTTCTAAAGAGAAATTCATGAGCACTGTTTGAATGGGATTTTTTAAAAGTCAATTAGCCAACCTCTTAATTATCATGTCATCCATTCAACACACACGTTGCTAATCAGAATACTATGGGCTCCTTGATCAAACGGTTTGCTGAAATCTAGGATGACCTAGAAATCTAGATGGCTGCAGCATTTTCACAATCTAATAAAATTACTGAACAAAAAAAGAAGGCTATTCTAATAAGACTTATCCATGACACATATATGCTTATGTTTAGTATTGATCACATTATTTTTAAGGTAATAGAGATCAGAGATATAATTACTGACTGGTGGATAGTTTCTTGGATGGTCTCTTCCTCCTTTTCAAAGATAGGAACATTTGTTCTTTTTCAATCATATTTCACCAGTTTTTCATGAGTTCTTATAAATAACATATAACGGTTTGTCAAACTATCAGCTACATCCTTCAGTATCCAAGGATGCAATTCCTCTGACCCCCAGAGACGTAAGATTCATTTAAAGCAAAGAAGTATCTTCTCATCATGTTTTGTTAAATTGTGGCTCTGTCCCTTCATCCTGCTCTTCATTATTTCCTTAGACAGCAAATATATCCTTGTGGGAGAAGACTGAACCAAACAGCAGGTAAGAAAAAAGCTATTTCCTGTTTGCCTTTTCTAATTTTCGTTAAGCAATTAGTATACTAATTTGTGTTTCTTTCCTTTTTATGAACATATATGAATAATTTATTTTCTACTTGTTCCACTATCAGCAAATAGTATTTTTTCCATTTGTTTTTTTTTAAAAAAAAATACTGTATCCAGTACTTATCTACAATCACTTTTCTGAAGGAAAATTGTTATGTGAGGCATGTTCCAACAAAATAATTTTCTTCCCAAAATTAATATCCTTCATCCATTTGTTTTAAGAATGAAAGTAAATGATCAGGCAGTAGCATATGCAAGTGGGAATATCTTTGCAAAGAGTTGATCAATTATTTTGCATAATTTCCTAATCATTTACTGAAAGACCCAAGTGAGCCTCCTGCTGTATTTTTATTCCAGCTGCTGCCACCATAAATTAATTTGTTTTTAGAGATATTTGTTTTAAAGTGCTTTATAAAAGAAGCTACAATGATGATAAGTTGCAACTATTTTCAGCACCACTTAACTTCTGCTGACAAGTGCAGATGTATTCCAACAATTCAGGAAAAATTCATAGAAATGTTTATGTCAGCAATCCACAATTTCCTCAATCAATAATATAGAAATGTTCATATGGTGTTTCAAAACCAATTTTCCATAAGTTACTGAATAATCAGTATTTCTAATCTTACAGCTTTGAGAAAAAATATTTTCACTAGAATGAAAGGTTTGAAGATCACAAATGTAATCTTTGTGGAACCTTTAAAACTCAGGAAAAGTGGTTTTTCATCCTCTTTTCCTTATCTACTACTGTTCAGTTTTACAGATCAGTGTAATTTCAGTTGCAAAATGTGTTGCAGAATGCTGAGCTAAATGTTTTAGTGCGACACTGTCACTCACATTCGGTTGAGTAGGAAGTAATAAATTATTCTCTCCCAATCACCAGAAAGGTTCAGAAAAAAATATCTTGGCTAGATCAAGGACAGAACAGCCCAGTTTCCTCCCGATAAATATAACTTCAGGATCTTTCCAAGCCATACCATTTCTGGAAAAGCAATGATGGACTGAGGAGCTAACAGCCACCACAGGATAAAAACAGGCAAGTAGACTGGCTTTTTGATAATGCTTCTCCAGACAAGGAATAGACTTGAAATTACAAGTGCTCCAGGCAGCTGCCACTCATGACTGCAAGTCAGCAGTCTCCAGTGGGATTACAGCTCTGGGTGATGAGGAAATAGCTATCTTGTTCAAACTGCAGTGAGAGTCTTTGGAATTGCCATGGACCAGGTTTAGGACTCACATATGGATTCTGAGTCTGACACTGAACAACCTTCAGCTCAACTGGTGGTATGTCAAGGGGAATCACATGAGGCTGATCAAACAACAGGCACTACCTGAGCAGTTAGAAAAGTCAGAAAATGACATACGACCTCCCAGCCCACACCTGTGACAAGAGCAGAGAAGGTCTATCAGACTTCTCATCAAGCAAAGAAGAAAACTTTCTAATTGGTGACAACTGGCTGCAACTTATCAAAGAATCTTCTTTGCCTGTTTTCTTTGCTGTAAATATCTGCCATCCAGCTCACGTACAACATTTGTGTGTGATTTTGGTTCTCGGGCCTTTAGCATTTGGACTGGCTGATAACCTTGACCTTGAAACACTGAGCTGATTCTGGATGATTTTGTGGCATTTATATTGCCGCCTATTTGCCCATGGCAACTCAAGGCAGCTTACAGAATATAAAATGACATTTAAAACTAACAAAAAGAATCAAATAAATTAATATAGTACAATATAACAAAATCACCCCCAGCTCCCATGGCCCTGTCCCAACGACAGCAGATCCCACAAGCCATTTAATGGGCGCCATCCTGTTCTGTATTCCCCAGGCCCGTTGGCAGAACCAGGCCTTTCAGAAGAGTATTAGAGTGGGGACCATTCTAATCTCTGAGGGAATGATGTTCCAGAGCCACCACGGAGAAGGCCCTTCTTCTGGGTCCCACAGGTGTATCTCCTTCGGAGATGGGACCTGAAACATTTCCTGCCTCCCTGCTTTCATGGGTCGGGTAGATGTGACTGGCAAGAGACGGTCCCTCAGATAACCTGGTCCCAAGCCATAAAGGGCTTTAAAGGTGACAACCAGCACCTTGAATTGCACCCGGAAGCAAATCGGCAACCAATGCAGCTCCCGCAGGAGAGGTAATAAATATGCACACTGGAGTTTGCACAAAACCACGTGAGCTGCTGCATTTTGCACCAACTGGACCTTCCAGATACTCTTCAAGGGCAGCCCCATGTACAGCGCAGTGCAATAGTCAAGATGGGAAGTGACTAGGGCATGAGTGACTGTGAGTAGGGATTGTTGGTCCAGGGAAAGATGTAACTGGAGCACAATCTGCAATTGCACAAAGGCCCTCCTGGCCATGACCGCCACCTGCTCTTAAGAGTTTTGCATGCTCCAGTTTTCAAAGCAAACCTTGCAGCCAAACTTTGGCTTTGTTTACGTTTCTTGTTTCCCTGTAACTTTTTCAGCCTACTAAACTGATAATTACCCAATAAAGTGTGCACACATTTGTGTGGCTGAAGCTACAGCAGGGCACAAAGGACATTAAGTTCACAAATTTTCTTTTCTAATCACTTTCAGAAATTACTTGCTTATTGTTTTTCAGCTATTATGAATCTTTAGCTTGACAAGTTTTACAACACCAGGTGTTTCCTTCAATCCTTAGCCAAATAGATTTTAACTAAAAGTTTAAAAATGTAAACACTTTTTAAATAAACAGCAAAAGGGCAATTAAAAGTTTGATTTTAGCAAGTTACAAATGAACTAAGGGTCCAGATGAATATGAAATAAGATTTTGGGATTAATTATATAGAATCCTTCCTGTGGGAAAATGCTTTTGTTTTCTTTCTTCTTTAAGTTAATAAAACTTTACAAATTAGTTACTAAAGCGAACTAAACATTATAAATAAAGGTGCAAACTCACAATTATAGAATTAAGCAAAGTATTTTAACATTAGACAATACCTAAAGATATTTTTGAAAAATGGATCCAGAAGTTCATTTTAAGATTATCTGCCTCTATAGATAGACTATTTAAAAGATGTTATGGAAAGGAACAAATTCTATCTGACAGTATCAGTACTAATTTGACAGAATTACAAAACCCCCACAATGAGTTATTTTATCACAGTTTTAAGTTAAGTTTAGTCCATGAAATGTGAAAGAATATTGATACAAAGAGGCACTGATAAAAAAGGCCAACTATGCATTTAATTCTGAGTTCCTTCTAAAAGTAAGGAAGAGAATATAATGAAACAAACCACGTTCTATGTAAAACCTGAAATGATGGGAAACCCTATCCATTTAAACGACTTTCATTCCTTTCATTTTTCCAGATAGTGTGTATAATGCACATTATTACTACTTATTACTGTACTAATAATTATTACCAATTATTACTAAATTCTTCAAAAATCATTATTTACTAGGATTAGTCTTTAACATCTTTTATCTTTTTATTTTATGTTTTATTGTAATGTGTCTGATTATTGTGAAATACCCAGAGTCACTGAATGTTGGACAACAAACAAGTTTAAAACATATGATTTGTTGCATAGCCAGCCAGACCTTGAGACTGGATTTAGTATTTTTATCCATCTATGCAATCCTTCTATTATTATAATTATAAATAGAGCTATGTTTAATTCAATCAAATAAGATGGATGAAATGCTTTTTTAAAAATAAAGTAAGATAGTTTTTTTTTTTTTAAAAAAAAAACACCTTTGGAACTGCCAAATCTGGAAGAGATTAGAAAAATAATTTTCTCAACTAAAATTAAGCAAGATAATATCTGAAAAAATAAACATTTTGTGGAAAACTGTAATGCAACTTTTTATGAAATGATATGATTTACTGGAACAATTCATACTGAATCAAACCAAACTATTTCTATCATATTATTTGAAGAAGATTGACAATTTGCAAAGAAAAGCAGCAAAAAAGATTTTGTTTATTGTATGAATAGATGCAGGAAAATGTCGAAGTTACTCTCAATAGCCTCATTCAAACAGTAAAAAATAAGTTGGAATGTTATAGTCTTTAAACTTACATTGGTAAAATATTTTTACTACTAACTTCCTTAATACTTTTCTGAGCAGAAAAGCAGAATGTAAACTTTATAAATAATGGATTACATAGTACAAATATAAAAGGCAATAGAAAGCCAACATGATAAAAGAAAATTCTAAAAAATAAGAAACTAAAAATACTCCCAAAATAAGATTCTCAAAGTCATATACTAACAATATTTTAGCTTTATCAATGACCTTTGTTTATTAAGAACTTTGCTCTTAATGAACAAAGTGCTACATATGCTGATACTCTGTTCCTACATTTTCATATTATCTAGCAAAGCATAATAAGAATCAACTGAATAGCTAGATTGATTATGTAACTTAACAGGAAACAACCCTAGGTTTTTAACTTCTAAATTTTGACTCACCAAAAAGAGAGCACTACAAATTTAAAAGTCATTCTACATCCATTTACTCATTAATACATTTCATTAAGCTCAGCAGGGGTTACTTCTGAGAAGGCACACATGATACTTACCTGCTGAAATTACATCAGAGCATCCTGACTCTTTAATTAGAGTGCTAGCATATATATATATGCAGGATGCCAATGCCAAAAGTAGATATTTAGAAGAATAGTAAGGAAAATATTATTTCAATATATCATTACCTTGTCAATATGAGGATGCCAATATTCATCATGGGTTGTCTTTGCTTCTGAGTTATTTATTCTAGAGAAGAAAGTTGGTTTTGTCAAATACATGGAAGATGAGCTGATGCCAAAAGCAAGAGCTATTTTTTGTTGAATTCTTAGCCGCACATCACTACAAATGAGAAAAGAACACCAGAACTGAGTAAAACTGCACAAAATATTGGATTTATTTTAAATATATTCTCTTATTTCACAATATCTAACATACACAGAATATTAAAAGAAATCCATGCACATTGTCTCAAGAATTCTATAACTTATGTGTAGCACAATTAATTATAATACATCATGGATAGCAGTCTTAGAGAGAATAGAATTGCATTAATTTGTTTGTAGTTCAGTTCAGTTTAGTTCCGTTCTGAAGCTTCCAATGATACAAATACTATATATGACCTGCACTTTATACTCTACTTCTATAACCTCCAAGCTGGAAAAAAGTGTAATTTGTCATTTTTTTCTAACTGTCCTCCATTTCACACATCACATAAGTCATAAATCAGTTTTATAAATCCCAACGGGTAAATTCAATCTTCCCATGCAAAAGGTTTTCACCCAACAAACATTTTTGTTAATGGAAGTGGAGGCCAAGAGAAATTCTGTCACTTTTGGGTGAAAAGTCTGAAGCAGGCACAGTAGGAACCAGTGACAGAACTTTTATCTGAAAACTAGACAGTTATTTCCTGCTTTCAAGGTCAGAAGAGAATTGGCTAATATTCAAACAGGTGGAAAGAAAAGACATAGAATTTAATTAAACGCTGTAAAACTCTAAGTAGTCTTTGAGTTATGACTCTTGGGTTCAGAAACCATTCAAAGTTACAGCTGCACTGAGAATGAATGGTACTTAAGCCCCATCACCAAATTTATAGCCATTACAGCCCATTCTGTAATCAGAATTTGGGTGCTTGGCAACCCACCTGCACTTAAAAACCACAGATGCATTTCAACTCCCTCCCCCATCCCCCCCCATCTCTGCCCTTCTGGCCCCTTCTATTCTTTAGCTCCTACTGTCCTGCATGCTACTGCCCCACCTCACTGACCTACACTGCCTTCTTACCCTCCCCGTTGAGCATTTGAGCATTGAATATTTCTCCATATCCATTGTCCATATTCTAAAAAAATTTCAACACTGGAAGATTTAGAAGAAAAGAAATTCTCTATCTAATACTGTGCTTCCCAGCCTTTTTCTTCACAACTCAAAACAGCTTATCAGAAAGTCTTATTGAACTTTGAGTCATAACTTTGAATGGTTGCTGAACAAATGGTAATCATTCAAGGACTACCTGTATTATAAAAACATTTCTATATCATCTCAACAATCATTTCACTGTCAATTTTATTGATATTCATCTTCTCAGGAATACTTTGGGAGATTTCTGAATATATTTCAATAAACATGCAATTTATAAGACAATTTAAAACTCCCTGTTATGATGGGTAATTGGGTTTGTGTGTCATTATTCAAAGAAAGACCATTTTTACCTAATTTTGGATAATTGACCCAGGAAACATTGATCTAAGAGCACAAACTTGCACATAACCCAAATACTGTGTTCTTTCATTATCAACACTGCTTTTTTCCATATTTCAGATCTATCTTTAAAAAAAAGATTTATTTGAAAAAGTTTATTCAGGAAACTTATTTTATCCAAACCAAATCAATTTGAACGTCTTGTCTATTTTTTTTTCCAGCAAACTTTGCCCATCATTTAAAAATCTTCCTCAATAACTAGTTTTTATTCACATAGTCTATTTGACAAAAATCAATTCAGGCACTCTAAGCAAACAATAAGACTTTTCTTTAGCTATTCCTTTGAGCTGCCACTCTGAAAGCTATCCACATGCTGAATTGTACTGAAAAATCCTTTAAGAATTTCTTCTGTGCTCTCTAACACAATAGCTGTGATTATATCGAAAAGGCATCAGATGCTCTTTAATGCAGAACCATACTCAGAGACGATAATCCAAAATGAAAGGTAATTTTTATATCAACCCACCATTTAGACTTGTGTTTATCTGCCTTTTCAGAATGAATCTTCTATCTACAACTAGCTACATTAGAAGAAGTATCCAGTAAAAGAAGTAGATACACAATGTAAACTGAATTGCGACCATAACATCTATACAGTTAGAATTCATTTATGAATCAGATTAATATAATTAAGACTACCACATCTTTTTCTGGTTCAAAATATCATATGGGGATACAATTAATCCTTCCCAAAACAGATTCCCCTGCCAAACAAGAACAGGTCCAGAATGCTCTCACTGAGCATACTCCCCTCCGAGTTTCTATTCAAACATCATCCCTCTAGTCCTCTCCAATGGCAATGAACAACTGATAACAACCAAGGCTAATGTGGTGCAATGGTTAAGATGCTGGATCAGAATAGGGAGATACAGGTTCTAGTCCGAGCCGAGGTGGTGCAGTTGTTAGGGTGCAGTACTGCAGGCCACTTCAGCTGACTGTTATCTGCAGTTCGGCGGTTCTAATCTCACTGGCTCAGGGTTGACTCAGCCTTCCATCCTTCCGAGGTGGGTGAAATGAGGACCCAGACTGTGGGGGCGATATGCTGACTCTGTAAACCCCTTAGAGAGGGCTGAAAGCCCTATGAAGCGGTATATAAATCTAACTGCTATTGCTATTGCTATTGCTAGTCCATCATTAGCCATAGAAGTACACAAGTTCATTTTAGGACACTTACTCTCTCTCAGCCTAACCTACTCCTCAAATTTATTACAATGGGGAAAAACATGATAGCAACTTCATATTAATTTTACTAATCTTAAGTATTACCAATCTTTAAAAAGAAAGCTGCACAAGAGACACTCTCCTTTTGCCATTTAACTAGTGGACTGTAACAAAATCAAATGCTGGGATTAAATAAAGTCTAGGATGCCTCAAGATACATTTAACCAAATTTTCTGTACTCTACCCCTCCATTCATTAGTGGTAAAACAAAAGTGATATTTTGAAGATTCTTCCCTTCAATCTATTAAAATGTTTCCTCAACTAATATTTCTACAATGCAAAATGTTTCATCTTTCTTTGCTACATAACAAGTTAAGGCACTGATCAATTCAAAAATTATGCTACAATATAATTTTTCTCAAATACAATAATAAATAATGAGTATTAGTATAACAAAGTTATACTAGCCAGCTAATGGAGAAAGCAAAACTAAAATTTTATAATACCTGGAATTTCTTACCGGTATAACTGAAAATCCTTTTCTGTGAAGATGTCATGGATTTTATCATTAAAGTATCTGGAGGAAAACGAAATAAATAACTCACGAAATCAACCCACAGATCATGTATATTAAATCTTTGTATTAACCAATTACTTTCAATATTCTTTCAATTAAATTGTTTACTCAGATCACAATTTTAATACACAATTATTTTTAAAGTTTCAGAACAATACTTATTAAGTCTAACACACAAGATCAATTCTAATAAATACCAATTGCTGTGGAAAACTGACAGCTTGTTTAAAAAAATATTCTAAAATGAACAAGAGCCTATTTCTACATCCAATATCCCCAAAATGATTATCACATATTCTTTGCTAAATGAAGAGAAGTTGCTGAAAATAGAGTAACTTGTGTAAAGTCATTTAACAGACTGAGAGTTAAAAGAACAAAGATCAACCACTCTAAAGGTGGATATATTAAAATGCAATTCTAAATTTACCTGTACATATTAACAAAATGCTTCCCCAAAGAAAGGGCTCCAGAGTGCAAATCTAGAATTGAAGCCTGAAATAGGAATAAATAAATACATTCAGTATGTAAATACAGACAATGGAAAATATTTAAGGGAAGCTGCTTTCTTTAAAAAGAAGACAAATTACTCTGTTTGGAAGTCACAATCCTATTCTACAATGTTCTGAGAACATAATGTAAAAGTGTGATGATTTTAAATATTTCCCAAGAACAAGGAAACTCAAACTTACTCTGAATTATTTCCCAATAATTCTTTATCTATACATATCAAGCTTACCAATATTTCTGGAGGAGGAAAAATTATGAACTTTCAAGTGGAGTGAATTTAAACCATGATAGAAATCACTATTAAGAAACAATGTTTTAAATCACAATTTCTTAAATAACTAAAATATTTAATAACAATTAACCGCTCTAAGACTTAGCCAATTCAGTTGGTTCTAGATTATTGTTTATCCCTCTGCTTCTTATGTCTGCGTAAAATGAACAAGCAAACTAAATCCTATAGCAGTAATGGACAACTTTTCCACAAACCCTGACTTTTTACTGAATTGTAATTTTGAATGTGGCAGATGGGAAGAGATCATAAGAATTATAATTAGGCAGGTCTGAATTTTTCCCTGACTTCAATTTTTTTTCAGAATAAGCCTTCAGGCAGAAAATGCCCAGTCCTCTGAAGTGCTTTCACATTATAGTATAGAGCAATATGTTAGCATCTTACAGAAGGGATCCAGAAAAAATCCCACTAAAGTATACATGACCAAGAAAAATTGCATGACAATATATTTGTATTTAAGCTGAATTTATATATAAAATAAAATGCAAACAAAGGTTATTTGTTTAATGAGGTAAAGCCATGGCATATTTTTATTCAGCAGCCAGTTATATTCTCCATAGAATATCTTATTTAATTTTTTTTAAATTAACATTAGGAGCAACAGCAGTAATATTCTCTTTCATGACCTTGGTCAGATTACATAGGAACCTGTTCAGAAAGTAATAAAGGATAGCGTTACAATATGCTGACAATGTAACTAGCTTTTAAAACAATATTTTCAGTTTCTACAAAACATGCTGAGTGACTCACTGTACAAAGGGAATTAATAAAAACAAAATGGCAGTTAAAGTCATTCATTCATGAAAATCTGCTCACCAGCGTAAATAGAAGCACAGTGGCTCACAAGGTTAAACGTTGGGCTGATGATTTGTGTTTGAAACCCGTTGCTGCCTCAAGGTGGGGTTAGCTCCTGTCACATACTCTGGCTCCTGCCAATCTAGTGGTTCAAAAGTGGGTGATCGCGAGTAGATAAATGGGTACCACTTCAGTAGGAAACTTCATGACGACCCAAAAGGATTCCCCAACTGGGCAACGGAGATGTCACCAGCAAATCCTTTCACCATGGAAGCACTTTGGTGCTTCCGATACAGAAGAATTAGTATACCGGCGTAAATAAAAAATAGGGAAAGCATCTGTATGAAAGGTATTCTTATGTCATAATAGGTGAATATTATAATCCTTAATCCGAGGATACCTAGATGCTCTCTGAGCTTGAGCACTGATTATGTTACATAATTTGGGTAATGAAATACCTGCAAGAAAACAACCAAGCTCATAGAGTACCAAGGACCTCCCATTTCAATCCTAAACTACAAATATTCTCCTTTATTGATCCTTAATCTGTAGGGATGTCAAAGCGGTTTGTAAATGATGCAGATCACACATGCACATAAAGGTATCTTAAACTCATACTACCAATTTTAGAGCAGCAATCATCCTTCATCAATTACACTCAGTGTAGTTTAGACTATGATACTTATCACCTTATTTGTGATAACATCTGACTATAGAAATATTCACTTGGGCAAGTAGAACTAGCCCCTATGAGACTAATAATTTAAAACATTTATGAAAAGGTTGTCCATCTCCCTTGCATCAAATAGAAGGAAAGCCATGCAAAAGATTTCTTGCTGAAAGATCTGAAACAACTGAAAAGAAGTCATACATTCAATTTAGGATTTAGAGAAAAAAGATAAAAGCAATACTGAATCAACTTGATTTATTGGAGGTATGTGAAATATATAAAAATCATCCTGGACAGAAATACTATGAAAAAGTTATAAACCACAGATATATTGTTAACTTATCAATTTTAGAAGAACGGCATAAAGGAAAGATAAGTTCTATTTGGGACAGAACCCAATACATGTCTACAACAAATTACATTATTCAGCGAATTCATCAATTATTTTTGGAATTATACAGCAAACAGTCACCTGACCCAGAAAAAATTGAATATTTGAATGGCATATTACTTTAAATATTACTAATCAACAAAAAGCTCTTAACCCATAACAGAAGTCAATACTAAAGAATCAGTTAAAAAGTTAAAAATGAATAAAACTCCAGGACTTGATGATAATTCAACAATACATTATAAGATTTTGTCCAGCAAACAGCCATTTAAAAGACAGCACTGTTCACAGATGCAAAATGGGTGGGCAAAGATTCAGACCTATCTAGCTTTTGGAGCTGCAAAAGAGACAGTGAGAGAATCCTATTTTCAGAATTGTAAGATTGAGGTCAGCCATTCCACCTGAATGAGATAGGGCAGGAAATATGACCCAATAAACTAATCCTATTTTATTGTAAAGCGACATTACCAGAATCTTCAGTGTTCCAGGAAATTGTATTTAAGTTACTGAACTAACAGACTTCCTACATTCAATCAGGAAGATATAGTACATTATAGTGTGATATTAGGATATCAGATTAATCAGAATAAGACACAAAGAATTATATGGAATCTATCAGAAAAAAAGCGTAGTAATACCAATTAAGCCAATTAAGTATCTGGGAATTTTACTTAGCAAAATATAAAAAGATTTATTTAAGAATAATTATTTGGAAACAAAACATAATAGCAGATATGCGCAGCAAAAATTAATATTTTACCCAGAATTAACTTTTGGTTTCAAATAATTCCAATAAGAATTGAAGAACAGATATTAAATGTGTATCAGAAATGAATTAATTAATTCATTAATTCTATTTGATGAAATAAAAAAACTGGCAATAAAATTTAAGATTTTGCAAGATGTGAAAGAGATAGATTAGCAGCATCAAATCTTAAATTATATTATTATATCAGTTGTTTAATCTGAATCCATTGCTTCATTATTAAGTATTTATTTTCCTGAAAGTGAATATATATAAAAAGTTGACTAGTAGAGATTCATACGGATAAATTAAAGATGAAATCTTCTGAGATTCTCTCCAATGGTTAGAATTGTCTCATTGGTTTCAATATCTCCAAATAAGTAGTATAGTTCAAACAAGGGATAATACTCAAGAGACTTGACTGAATTTTAAACACTTGTTAACTCAAACATTTGTTGGGGCTTATTTCTAAGTTGTTACTGAAATATGAACCAAAAAGTGAACAAGTTAAGGATTCTATTGCTGGAATTCAAAATTAGTAACATTAGCAGATACAATCAAAGTTAGGTTTTTACTATGCAATAAAATAGCTAGAAGCCATCATAATAGTAGATGAGGTACATAAACAGATTTAGCAATCTAAGTTGTGGATTATGCATCAATGTCAAAATTATATATTTAAAAATAATTTTGAATTTAACTTGAAAACTTTGTTGAATTGTTATTCTGTACTTGTACTATATGCAAAGTTTGGGTCTCTTTTAAGGTAGTGTTTAAAATACTAAATCTTGTCTCTAGTCTAACGAAGACAAATCATCTAAATTTGGTAAAAAGTTATACACTTTATTCTGATGAACAATTCTTATTTAACTTGAAAACTTTTTCTGAACTGTTATTCTGTACATGAACTTGTACTATATGCAACGTTTGGTTCTCTTTTAAGGTACTAAATCTTGTCTCTTTTGTCTAACGAAGACAAATCATCTAAATTTGGTAAAATATTATACACTTTATTCTGATTAACAGTTTTTATTTTTATTAATTACTGATATGTGATTGGATTTCAGTAATTAAGATTACTGTAATATTAACCCAATATTATTTTGAAATGCTTTATTCAATATTATACTGTGTGGATTTAAAAAAACAGTTTTATTCTTTTTTTCATTATTATGATTGTGCTATTAAAGTATTACAATATAAGCATACCAATAACATTTTTTTATGGACGAAAGCTCCTAAGACAATCAGTCAAGTTCAATTACACAATCATTAGTGCTGTCATGGTTGCAAACATTGTGAGCAAAACATGTCTTCTTTACTGGCCTCTCAGTTTGGCATGTGGTGAACAATACAAGTAAAAGGGTTTCTAGCCAGCATTACTGGCTTCTGCTAGCTAGCTGGCTATACGGACTCAGCACGCCCCGCCCTCCTGTTCCTGGTTGCTCCCGGATAGCTCCAGCAAGTACTCTTGCTGCAGTCCGGTTGCTCCCAGGCTGGTTCCAGCCAGTATTTTTTGGGCTCAGCTCTAGCAAGTACTCTTTGAGCCCAGTTGCTTTCTGGCCAGCTTGAACAAGTACTCTGCAGGCCTGGATGGCTTCTGTGAATTGACCACAGCTGGCTTGCCTTCCTGGCTCTTCTCCCAGCATGAGTCCCATCACCCAACACCCATCTGGGCCCCCCCATGCATCCCCTGCCCCCTGCGCATGTGTGGCAACTCTGAAATGGCACATTGTGGCAACTTTCAACGGCGCGTTGTCTCGGACATTGACATGTGCATTTCAAATTCTGTACTTGAACACATATTGCATAATAGAAAATGAACAGACTGATTTAAGTAATATATCCCAATGGAAATTTATTTGACAGACAGTGGGCAAACAAAGAACAGGCAATGTACAGTTCTAAGAGAACAGAAAGGCAGACTGAAAGAGGTTCCTTCTCACTCATCCAGATCAAGAGACTTTGGGGCTTTCAAACAATAGCAAGGCTATGTTGATTCCTTATTGAATAGGCTGTACATTTCCTAATAAAAAAGACACTAAGATTGAATGGCAAAAGCTGGGATTTAATGTTACTGGATCACAGACAGTTGAGATTCCTATCCGTAACTAAAATGAACATTTTCATAAATGAAGATGAGAATGGACTCCTGTTTCTGTCTGACAGGTACTTCTCCCTGAAAGACAGCGTTAAACATAATCTGAAGAATCTTGCCTGAATACCAGAAGAACGTAAGAAAGTAACAGGACACTGCTCACCCCTCCATCCGATCCTCCCAGGGACAGTCCCCTCTCTGCTATTCTGTGGACGAAACAACAATCTCAAAACATAGCTTTTCCCCCAGTTCTTTACAGATGTTTTTGAAATACAACTTGTCACCGTTAATAAGGAAGAAACAGAAAAGAAACATCCCCCTTGGATTCATAACAGGTAAATCAGCATAACAGGTGGCCTTCATTATCTGTGGAGTTTCATTCTCAAGGATTCAAACTGCGGATTAAAAAAACTGTAGATGTGACCTTAAAAAGAGATAGAGAAAAGCATAGAGAAAAGCTATCCAGAATATTGTGTTCATGTAAAAAAAGGAGGGGGGGGAGAGCTCCAAGCTAGAGTTACATAAACTTTTCTGCATGATCTGGACTCCGTTTAACAATTATTGAAATAAAATACTGCAGATAACGAGGGACACCTGTGCCACACACATTACTCAGAAAGAGGCAAAGCATTTGCTAGTAAAAATGGCAAAATCCAAAGCTGAGCGCTTACCCAGTCATTTCCAGGTAGGATTACTGCAAAGGTCAGCAACAAGTTTTGAATTGCAAGTGAGCAAAGGTTAGAAAAATCTAGTTTATTATCAATGAAATAATGTTCTGTGGGAAAATGGGAATCTATAGGCTGAATAGAGGAGTCTAAAGATGCAGTGGAGAGAATGAAAAGGGAGTGGGTGAAGTACCTTCTGTGATGAAAAGAGCTATTCATCTTTATTGAAAAAAGTGATAAAGCCCCTAATTAAAGCTTTCAGTTCTTTCTGTGTTTACCACTGAACACTAACCTTAGGGCCGATCAAGGTGTACTTTTCCAGCTAAAGTTTAGAGCAGCCAAATAGGGGAAGAATAACAGTTTAGGCCCGTGATGGTGAACCTATGGCATGTGGGGCACAGGTGGCACGCGGAGCCATATCTGAGAGAACACGAGGAGTTGCCTTATGTCAACTCCAGCGCACATGCACGCACTGGCAAGCTGATTTTTGGCCTTCCAGAGGGGGTGGGGGAGGCCATTTTTCACCCTCCCCAGACTTCAGGAGGCTTTCCTAAACCTGGGGAGAGCGAAAAGTGGCCCAACAGGCTTACCGGAACTCCAGAGGCTTCAGTGAGGCCTGCACGCATGCACAGGGGGATGATTGCATTATCCCCTCCCCCCCACATGGGTGTGGGCATGCGCATATGCGCTATTGCGCACATGCATACACTTTTGGCACCGAAGCAAAAATCGTTCACCATCACTGATTCAGGCTATCCAGGAAATAGGGCTGGCAAGGGAAAAATAGTATATGCAACTCATATTCCCAGCAGCATACTTTGTAACAAGGCCAAAATATATATTCATGCTGAGCTAATCAACATCTCATAGGAATATCACATGCTGAAAGAGAGGCATATAGTGCAGAGTATAAAACTGCATATACTTGAAATAAATATTGTGTTTATATACACAAACACACATACTCATTAATAGAAATACAGTATGTGTCCATGGAAGGTGTATCTAGATCATGTAAAAACTCTCGGCCCACGGGCCGGATGTGTCACACCCTGGCATGCCCACACTCAGTTTAGTGATGGGGGGGAAAGCCACAATACACCCCGTGATGCCGCCATGACAACCTGAGTTTGACACCCCTGTTCCAAATAGAGGAAACTATTCTAGATAGGCTTTCTGGATTTCCGGATCCAAATTCCAAAATATGAAAATACAACGGAGACAATTTGGAAACCTGGTTTTAATTATGGCCAATAATTTATTTATTGTTAATAAACAAGTTAATACAGTTAGAGAGGAGGTATAATCTCATGTTTTAAAAGAAAACATTTGATTCTTTGGCCTTCCCTACCTTAATTCCATATCTGTTAAATGAAATAATAATGGCGGCCTATGTCACAAGCATGTTTGAATATAAATAGAATGCAGACCAAAAAGTATGTTTCATGTTATATCAGGGGAAAGGATGGAACACATTTTAGATGTTATAGAACAAGAATTCCCTGATGTTTCACCAAAAGTCCTCTTGACTAGGACTGGGAAAATTAGTGGAATGGGGAGTCTTTGGTGCTCTTTTGGCTGTTTTCTTATAGACATTTCATTACCTACCTAGGTAGAATCATCAATGTAAGTGAGCATGGGGTTTGCTCCCAGTTTATATACAATAGCTTGCCCTGTCAGTAATACTGGTATATGGTTTTTCCTTGTTATTTCCTTAATTAGGGATTGTTTTCTGTTTGATCCTTTGCCTGGTGCTCATTCCAGCTTATCTGGTTATTGGCTGTTGTAGAGGATATATCTTTTTAATTGTGTCTTTTGAATGGTGTGTAAATAATGTCTGATAATTTATACTAGAAGTCCTCATTTAAAGTGTGATTGTGACTGGTCATAAACTGAAAAATCATGTGACTGCATCACTTTATCCCATCTTAGTGACAACCCTCCTGGATGTCACTGTAAAAAAGAACTGCACAGGTTGTTAAAGAAGGATGTCACATGACTGCAACTTCCAATTTCCTGTTAATATCCTCACTGACTTTCCCTTTGAGAAGCCAGCAGGAAAGTTGTAAATTATGATCACATGACTGTGGGGATGTTGCACCATCCATAAGTATAAGATCCAGTCATAACTACCACTAGTTCAGAGTCATCGTAAGTTCAAACAGTCACTCAAGGGGGCATCTGTATACTGTTTACAAAACAAACAGAAAACACCACCACCACTCTATTCTAAAGTTTTTAACAAAGACATTCTGGAAAAAAAATATATTTACCTACGGATTTGCTCAGCTTCTTCCCTGCTAATTATGGAATCTGTTATTCCTCTTCCACACTTCCGAGGGGTACAGCCTAGATAATGAATAAGAAAAAAAGAAGAAGACAGTATTTAAATGTATGTTTAAGTGTATGGTTTGCCAATTGCATAGTGGCAAATAGGACAGCACTCCAGAGGGTCAACATCACTGCCTAGAGGATCATTGGTTGCCCTCTCCCCTTTTTGGAAGAGCTTTATAGCTCCCGCTGCCTTAAGAAAGTTCAAAACATTCTCAAAGATCCATCTCATCTTGGGCACTTTTTTTTTGGGGGGGGGGGAATTATTACCATCTGGCAGACGGTACAGGATGATAAAAACTAGGACAAACAGGCTGAAAAACAGCTTCTATCCCAGGGCAATAGCCATATTGAATTCTACGGTATAGTGCAATATTGGGTTTTCAATTTCAATTATATAGAATGTAAAGGATGTATATTTATGATTTCATTTTTATAATTGTAATGTACACTGAAGACAGCATTTAATTTCGTTGTACCATGTGCAATGACAATAAAGTAAACTAAACTAAACTAAATATTTTTCACTGCTGTACCTGTCTTTAAAGGTATTACAGACAGTCAGGGTGGATAAAAATCAATGATTTTTTTTTAAAAAAATCAGATTTAAATTGGATTTTGTTTTATTTAAAACAGATTTGTTTTATTTTTATCAAATTTATTTTAATAAAATGCTTCTGGAATAAAAAGATAGTTTTCTATTTAAGATGCATTAATAATTTAGTTTATTCAGCATGAAATGGAGCTTAGTTTTGTAGCATGGTTGTATATTCTGCAATATTGGGACTATCGGTGAGTGAACAGCAGGTCAGACGTGGAGCTGCTACGGAACAGAGATGACAGTTGCTCTTTAAAACTTATGATTTAAATTGAGTTGATTTAAATCAAGCCTTTTTACTAGTGATTTAAATCGTGATTTAAACAGACTTGATTTAAATCAAACCCACCCGGCAGACAGCTGTATTACTTGAAATGATTGATCCATCAGTAGTAGATCAAATCCATCACAACTTATACATTGCTATCATTACACCTCATACTTTTATTTAATTCTCATAATAATTATTGTATCTTATGAAAAAACAACTGTCCATTTCAATTTCCTCCACCATTTTTCTTGGTTTCATGCATTAGCTGAAGAATCTGACTTTCTAATTCTCAAAATCATACAAATTATTGTTAAAAAGTCTATATTTCTTTCCCCGCACAAATTATCCTGATATAATAATAAAAATTGTAACAAATCTAAGTAATGTTTTTTTGCCTAATTCGTCAAAAGAATTTTGATCTGTTTGGAAGAATCCACTGGTGCCAATTTTTACTTGACTATAAAAGACAGTTATCTCTAACTTTGCAAATCTTTATATTTTTCTTAGGAGCTTCAAGTAGCTGAAGTTAATATTCTATCCTGTTGGTTTTACTTCTTGGACATTTACAAAACTATCATATTTCAAGGAGCATCTGGGGAACAACTATTGATTCAACTTCGTCAAGTGAAATAAACAAATACTGAATTACAAGCTTGATCTTTCAGAATAAATTAGACTCTTGAGACCAACTTTTCCTGTACTCTTAAAGAGTAAAAATGACAGGAGAAAACAAATGATTTATCTGCAGCGGACACTTCAATCGTGGTATTTTAAGAAAAAAAAATATTGAAACATATACTAGAGAACTCTGCAGCATTTTATGTTCGATTCTAAAAAAGATGTTGGGGGTACCAGTCTGCAATCTAGGCAGTTTATATAAGATTAAAAACCAAACAGAAAAAGACCAGCAAGATAAAACAATAGGAAACCACAATAAAACAAGGCTGAAATCATACCAATAAGTTGAACGTATCTACTCCCGTGGTCTAATGCCTGGGGATGAACCAGATTTTCAAGGCTTTATGAAAGGACAGCAGGGTTGGGACCATCTGAATCAGGGAGAGAGTGGGCAGCTGTTTCATACAGCAGGCATTGTGACAGAGAAAGCACAATCCCTATTAGACAGTATTGCTTCATGGAGGCTATCCAAACAAGTCCCTCCTGTCATATCTTGTCAGTCAGGCAGAAAGAATTGAAGACAGGAAATCTAATCTATAATTTGAATCTGTACCATATAGAGATTTATAAATAGCATCCTGTAATTTGAAGTATTTAGAAGTCTACAGGAAGCAAGTGCATTTTGCATACTATGGCTACCTATGCTGCCACATTCTGGATCAGATGTAACTTCCTGATAGCCTCCAAGGGCGAGCACAGCACATTACAATAGTCCAAACTGAAAGTGACCAAGGCATAAGTGACCATGAACAAACCAATCCAGGGAGAAGCCCAAGCAGTACACAAGATGGTTTTATGCAAAAGCCCTTCTCACCATAGCTGCCATCTGCTCTTCAAAGTCCAAGAGAAACCAAAAATCTACACCAGTTCTGTCTGGAGAAATGCAACTCCAACACCCCAAATAGAGGTCCCAGGATCCAGGGACCCCTAGAATCCATTGCCACTCAATTTAGTTTCTTTTCAGATCCAGGCTCCCATGGCCTCCAGATACTAGTACAAAAAACCCATCACTTGAATGGCCATGAGGTGAGATTCATACATGGGTATCATCAGTATATTGATCATCCTTAGCTGCATGACAACAGATGAGCCCACCTGGTGAGTCCATATAAATGTTAACTAGGAGCAAATAGTACTTTAAACAGATCTCTGAGGAATCCTGGACAGAGTTTTAGCATTCTCAAAACTAAAGCAGATAAAACAAAGCAGCATTACACAAGTTTAGGAAGAGATAGTATTGCAGTAAATTACCAAAGCAATACATAAATCCTGAAAAAGGCTAGAGATAAATTACAGTTCCCAGGATTCTCATCAAGGTTACAGTTAGATGTGATTTAGGCAAGCATCAAACTGAATTTTGATATACAGTATTTAAGAAACTTTACTGTCAGATTACAGAATAGGGAACCCTGTCAAATATATCTCACAGGTGCCCCCAAGTGGAATCTTGGTAATATGAAAATTGCAACAGAAATGCAAAAAAAAAAAGAAAGAAAGAAAGAAAGAAAGAAAGAAAGAAAGAAAGAAAGAAAGAAAGAAAGAAAGAAAGAAAGAAAGAAAAGGAAAAATAGAGCAGCCATTCAGAAACAGACTGAATTAATCCAGCAGAGTATGATCAAAATATATTCATTTAAGAATATATATTAGACTGGGTCAAAATAAAATATTTTAAAAAGTTAAAATACTTCAAAATTAAATTCATTTTAGTATTGAAAATGCAAACCTCCCCTTTGAAAGCATGCTAAAACTGTAATTTCACCCTTAAAAACCAATAAAAATGGGAACCCCCACCACAAATAAATGAACCTAAAAACATTATCCCACAAACTGAGCATGCATCCACCAAGCCCAAAAGCGCAAATGTGAGATATATATCCTACACATTCTTTCATTCTGTACGAAATCAAATATCTAGCTCCTCAGTTATAAGAACTATTTTTTATTCTGATTTTTAATTCTAATTTTAACTTAGTGATTCTGAAGATGCAAAATCACAATTATGAATAATGAACTGTTATAAAAACTCCTGTTTTTACAGACGATGAACTTTTGAATCAGATTATAGTGGCACAAGCAGGCAACTATAAGAATCATGGGAGCTGAATTTAAGAGAGAAATCATAAAAATATACGGATCCAAGACATACTGTATTTTTCGGCGTATAAGATGCACCAGAGTATAAGACGCACCAAGGTTTTGAAGAGGCAAATTTAAAAAACAAGTAGGTAGGTAGATAGAGGGATAGAGATGGAGAGAGAGAGAGAAATATAGTAGGTAGGGAGAGAGATAGATAGATAGATAGATAGATAGATAGATAGATAGATAGATAGATAGA